AAACAAAACCACTATAAATGTCTTTAAAAATCATATATGCTGATACATGTTCTATTTTAGAATATCTAAATATAATAACCATTGTGGGAAATAATCAGGAGACAAATCTTTAAATTTGTATATTAATTTTATCTACCAGCCTCCTGCCATTGGACCTGCTTCTTAATGAATACAGTCCAGTAAGGGCTAGCTACGTCCCTGATCACCCACCGCTTACAACTTAAAATTTCCACTGGACAAGTAATGGCAATGTAAAAAGTATGTATTGTATTTCTTGTTCAAGAACTTCCTTTCTGTAGTTTCATTTATGACTGTAGAGGGCATCACGATCATCAATGTCAAATACATAGAAAAGTCTGGGAGTTATTTTATATTTACAGCATTGAAATGAAGGTTTTTGTAAGGTACCCTAGGAATGTCTGCACCACTGAAGGAACCAATCCTGTAACATCATGAACACAAAAGGCTATGAAATACAGATCCTTTGTGTACTTGGCAAAAATAAACTCAGTCGTTTAAAGCAGAGATGCATAAAACCAGTAGTTTTTTTTTTTTTTTTTTTTGACATTTGATGCATGTTTTTAATAGGTCTTCCCTTTTACTCCTGATCAATACTGTGCCGGGTTTAATAGGTCTTCCCCTTTACTCCTGATCAATACTGTGCCGGGTTTAATAGGTCTTCCCCTTTACTCCTGATCAATACTGTGCCGGGTTTAATAGGTCTTCCCCTTTACTCCTGATCAATACTGTGCCGGGTTTAATAGGTCTTCCCCTTTACTCCTGATCAATACTGTGCCGGGTTTAATAGGTCTTCCCCTTTACTCCTGATCAATACTGTGCCGGGTTTAATAGGTCTTCCCCTTTACTCCTGATCAATACTGTGCCGGGTTTAATAGGTCTTCCCCTTTACTCCTGATCAATACTGTGCCGGGTTTAATAGGTCTTCCCCTTTACTCCTGATCAATACTGTGCCGGGTTTAATAGGTCTTCCCCTTTACTCCTGATCAATACTGTGCCGGGTTTAATAGGTCTTCCCCTTTACTCCTGATCAATACTGTGCCGGGTTTAATAGGTCTTCCCCTTTACTCCTGATCAATACTGTGCCGGGTTTAATAGGTCTTCCCCTTTACTCCTGATCAATACTGTGCCGGGTTTAATAGGTCTTCCCCTTTACTCCTGATCAATACTGTGCCGGGTTTAATAGGTCTTCCCCTTTACTCCTGATCAATACTGTGCCGGGTTTAATAGGTCTTCCCCTTTACTCCTGATCAATACTGTGCCGGGTTTAATAGGTCTTCCCCTTTACTCCTGATCAATACTGTGCCGGGTTTAATAGGTCTTCCCCTTTACTCCTGATCAATACTGTGCCGGGTTTAATAGGTCTTCCCCTTTACTCCTGATCAATACTGTGCCGGGTTTAATAGGTCTTCCCCTTTACTCCTGATCAATACTGTGCCGGGTTTAATAGGTCTTCCCCTTTACTCCTGATCAATACTGTGCCGGGTTTAATAGGTCTTCCCCTTTACTCCTGATCAATACTGTGCCGGGTTTAATAGGTCTTCCCCTTTACTCCTGATCAATACTGTGCCGGGTTTAATAGGTCTTCCCCTTTACTCCTGATCAATACTGTGCCGGGTTTAATAGGTCTTCCCCTTTACTCCTGATCAATACTGTGCCGGGTTTAATAGGTCTTCCCCTTTACTCCTGATCAATACTGTGCCGGGTTTAATAGGTCTTCCCCTTTACTCCTGATCAATACTGTGCCGGGTTTAATAGGTCTTCCCCTTTACTCCTGATCAATACTGTGCCGGGTTTAATAGGTCTTCCCCTTTACTCCTGATCAATACTGTGCCGGGTTTAATAGGTCTTCCCCTTTACTCCTGATCAATACTGTGCCGGGTTTAATAGGTCTTCCCCTTTACTCCTGATCAATACTGTGCCGGGTTTAATAGGTCTTCCCCTTTACTCCTGATCAATACTGTGCCGGGTTTAATAGGTCTTCCCCTTTACTCCTGATCAATACTGTGCCGGGTTTAATAGGTCTTCCCCTTTACTCCTGATCAATACTGTGCCGGGTTTAATAGGTCTTCCCCTTTACTCCTGATCAATACTGTGCCGGGTTTAATAGGTCTTCCCCTTTACTCCTGATCAATACTGTGCCGGGTTTAATAGGTCTTCCCCTTTACTCCTGATCAATACTGTGCCGGGTTTAATAGGTCTTCCCCTTTACTCCTGATCAATACTGTGCCGGGTTTAATAGGTCTTCCCCTTTACTCCTGATCAATACTGTGCCGGGTTTAATAGGTCTTCCCCTTTACTCCTGATCAATACTGTGCCGGGTTTAATAGGTCTTCCCCTTTACTCCTGATCAATACTGTGCCGGGTTTAATAGGTCTTCCCCTTTACTCCTGATCAATACTGTGCCGGGTTTAATAGGTCTTCCCCTTTACTCCTGATCAATACTGTGCCGGGTTTAATAGGTCTTCCCCTTTACTCCTGATCAATACTGTGCCGGGTTTAATAGGTCTTCCCCTTTACTCCTGATCAATACTGTGCCGGGTTTAATAGGTCTTCCCCTTTACTCCTGATCAATACTGTGCCGGGTTTAATAGGTCTTCCCCTTTACTCCTGATCAATACTGTGCCGGGTTTAATAGGTCTTCCCCTTTACTCCTGATCAATACTGTGCCGGGTTTAATAGGTCTTCCCCTTTACTCCTGATCAATACTGTGCCGGGTTTAATAGGTCTTCCCCTTTACTCCTGATCAATACTGTGCCGGGTTTAATAGGTCTTCCCCTTTACTCCTGATCAATACTGTGCCGGGTTTAATAGGTCTTCCCCTTTACTCCTTATCAATACTGTGCCGGGTTTAATAGGTCTTCCCCTTTACTCCTGATCAATACTGTGCCGGGTTTAATAGGTCTTCCCCTTTACTCCTGATCAATACTGTGCCGGGTTTAATAGGTCTTCCCTTTTCCTCCTGATCAATACTGTGCTGGGTTTAATAGGTCTTCCCCTTTACTCCTGATCAATACGGTGCCGGGTTTAATAGGTCTTCCCCTTTACTCCTGATCAATACTGTGCCGGGTTTAATAGGTCTTCCCCTTTACTCCTGATCAATACTGTGCCGGGCACGTTCTGCTTACCAGCGGCTAGATAGTTCTATGTAGTATCTATGTCTCTATTTAATTTAAAGCCCTATTGCTCAACATTAGTGAAACCATTTTTTACTTCCGAATTTCTTCCAACAGTACTAGAATTGACACACGAGTCTACAACACATACGGATTGAACATATACATTTCTTAGTTTGAAATTCTTACAAAAAAAGTTGTCTTGATTTCATTTTAAAATTCAAGTTAATGTTTTGGAGCTTTCAAATGGACTCGGTTACGAATTTGTTGTGTTAAAATTGACACTATCTTCTCCAACTATGATTCAGAATTTGGACTGGCCTCTGTTTGGGGTAGGATAAACACAACGATGACATCATTTTGTTCAGGCCAAGACGCATGTTGCTCTGAGGGCATCATTTAGCATGCTTCAGTCAGTGGAAGGTATTGTATTGCCAACACTTGGTTGACAATAACAGTTCTAGAATATCCATCAAACCATCTAGTGGTAGATTTATAGAATTTATCCCCTTTGCTAGCATGCATATCTTTATCTATATACTTTCCCATTGGCAGATTAAGAAAAATTGTTTACTAGTCTGACCTGTATTTTTAAAGCAAATTCCCTAGCTTTGACATTGTCTTCCCAGCCACTGGATTAAGACTATTGGAACTGCATACCCCTGCTTTGTCTTTTTATATGCTATTTCTCTGGGGAACATTGTCTTAACAGCAGGAAGCTCCCACCATTTGTAGCCTCGCCTGGTGGCAAAAGTCCAGCACCTGGAACATTTCTTTCATAGGCACTGGTCTACCAACAAAAATAAGACAAAGACCACAATATAAACCATAATTTCTTTAATTATATCAAGATGATATTAACACATATCAAAATCGTGTTGCACACATATATACCAGTGATGATGTACACATACATCAGTGATGATGTACACATATATATACCAGTGATGATGGACACATACATCAGTGATGATGGACACATACATCAGTGATGATGTACACATATATCAGCGATGTTGTACACATATCACAATGACAAGTACCCATATAATGATGATGTACATATATAACATTGACAGTGTACACATTGTCTTAAAACACGTAAACTACACGGTATAACAAGCACACACCTTTCAAAATTACACAATTACAACCTAAAACAACAATTTCATCAATGTTTTGTTTTCATTCATCCTTTCAAACTCAAATTTTGTTAAATCAGTTTATACCAATTGTTTGTTTCATACAAATTGAAATATGAATATAATCAATTAAAAGATGTGGTAACATGGGAAAATTGTTCGTTGAACACTTTGGTTAGTGAACAAATCTGGATACTCTGTTTTCTGCATGACTGGAACTGGTTTAATATCTGAACAGAAATCTTTCTGTGTACAACCCTGTCATTTTTGAGACACTTGTTCTCTCTGGATTTTAGATATGCATGTCACACCGATCATGTGCACTAAGGATTAACACTGAAAACTTACCAGGTGTGACAAAAGTATGTCAAAACACTGGTATGTACTCCCTAGCTTAACCATTACCCTTTTCACAATGGTTGGTAAACTTCACCCACTTTTTTCGTCAAAATTTAACAAGCAAATTGGCTTGCTACTGATTAACCAGTGTATAAGTACTTAATCAAATGACTTTTGCTCCGGCAACTTGAATGTTGTAAACATGATGTTGGGGTAATTGTGCTGTAGCATTCAAGTGAGGTGGCACTGTAACTGATACTGTTGGAAGCATTGTCTCACTACAAACAGAACACAATACATCTCAAGCACACATGCAGGCATACACACATATGGAGATATTAGCCAGGTGGCATAGGACTAATAGTTAGCGCCTGATAAGGCAGCTCCTGCGAATTCCTCAAAATTGTATTGATTAATGTATATGCTAATTGTATTGATTGTATAAATTGTATATCTTTGTACTGTGAAGTGCTTTAGAGAAACTTGGGCTAGCAAGATAGGGCACTATGCCTCTATATCATATGTTATATATAATTATTATTATAAACAACAGTTCTGAAAACAGGTTCCAGTGCACACAAAAACCAAGATTGCACTGTACAAAGAAACCAGACTGTACAAACTGTACAAAGAAACCAGACTCTAAACTAACCGGGTTTCATTTGCCAGACTAACCCAGTTCAAATGTAAACAGAAACCATAGTATCCAGACTAACCAAGGTCAACTGTAAACAGACACCATAGTATCCAGATTAACCAAGGTCAACTGTAAACAGAAACCATAGTATCCAGACTTATCAAGTTCAACTGTAAACAGAAACCATAGTATCCAGACTAACCAAGTTCAACTGTAAACAGAAACCATAGTATCCAGATTAACCAAGTTCCTATATAACTAGATACTTAAACTGGCCGACTATAACCAGGTTCACTGAGCACTCTCAACTCTCAACCATTATAAGTTAAATATTATCTGTCATGTAAATAAACAACCTCCTCCCAACATTGAAAGTCTGTGTTTATCCATGATATCCTGTGTTCTTCAAGTAACTTGGAAATCTCCACCTTGTCCTGCAGCATTCCCCAAAGTCCAAACATTGTTCCATCTCACTCAGCTATGACAAAATGTGAAAAAAAGGAATATGAAATTTTACAATCAAAACAGATATTAGTGTTAGTACTAATATAGAGTTCTTTATGAAATTTACTGTGAAATGCATAGCTTTTAAGGGCCTTTTTCAGTAAGGATAAAGCCTAAAACATCTGACGGTTGTAGTTATAACCAGATGGTAGCCATAGGGACTGGTAGTTATAGCCTGTTGGTAGCCATAGTGACAGGTAGTTATAACTAGGTGGTAGCCATAGGGACTGGTAGTTAGAGCCTGTTGGTAGCCATGGTGACAGGTAGTTATAACCAGGTAGTAGCCATAGGGACTGGTAGTTATAGCTAGCTAGTAGCCAGAGACAGGTAGTTATAACCAGGTGGTAGCCATAGTGACTGGTAGTGATAGCCTGTTGGTAGCCATAGTGACAGGTAGTTATAACCAGATGGTAGCCATAGTGACTGATAGTTATAGCTAGCTGGTAGCCAGTGACAGCCAGCTCTAATGCAGGTTCAACTCTAGTAATAGTTAGGTGATAACACAACACTGACAGTGCTGCAGGAAACACATTACTGAGGCCTTACATTGGTGGAAACAGATGTCACACCGAACACAAAACAAATAAATTTGTCTAATCTATATGTATAATTAACTGTGGTATAACTTTTCCCTGTCTCTAACAGAAAATGAAAAATACCAAATACAGTATTATCCATAGTATTTAAACTATAAAGGGCAATACAAATGCAGGGCATATATGCATTTTCACCAGTGAGGGTGAATATTTCAATTGGTGGTAAACAGTTATGTCACAACAAAGCCATGCAGAGAAAGAAAAGGTTTACCTACTTTACTTACTTTTCCTGTAAGCGTACTCCAGAGCACTAGAGATGGTCCTCATGTCCGTCTCTATGCTCCGGGCCCAATTCTCTACATCACCAAGTTCCTGCAACAATTTCACAATAAACAGTCTACTGTGTTAAAATAAATATCAAAACAAATCAAATTTCTACTTTTGGGATTTACCAAAAATATTCATTTTTATGTTACAGTTGCCAATGCTTTCCAAAAACATTACAGAAGACGTCCCAAACAGAATAAATTGCTGGCCTTTAATGATCAGACACGGCATTCTACAATTTTATATATAGAAAACAACACATTTGTCTTAAAATACTGAGGCCCTAAAGTATGTTTTTTAAATAAAATTCCGTTTTTTAAATAAAATTTAAACAGATGCAGACATTATTAACTTAAACCATGGTAAAAGATAATTTATTGCCCGCTCTTTGTTAATTGAACAACATTAACCAAGAAATATTTGTGGAAAGCCGTCCAACAAAAACATGGAGTTAAACAAATATCAGGAAATAAAAACAAAGTCTTTTTCAATCAAAACAATTTAAAATAGGAGGAATCACATATAACTATAATGCAAGTTCAAAAACAAAATCCATTCTAGATCCTTATTCTAACAATTTAGTTTAGAAGGGAGGTAACTCTTCTTACCTTGAGTGAGGTGTTGAAATCCTCCACAAGTTTCAGCCACTGGACGGTCTGTTTGGAGAACTGACATGCATTTGCTTGCAGGATCTTTGTCTCTGTGTCTAGCTTCTTCTGGTTAACATAAGCCTGGGCCACTCTGTAAGAGTTCAGAGGTCATAGGGGTCAGAGATCCTTATAGGCATAAGAGGGGAAAATGTACACTGCTACATTGTAGTTCCAGTACTAAGTATTACACATACATCAGTTAAGAACTATGATAAGCTTTTCAATCCAATTACATTGTGGATACTCATTTTAGATAACTACAAAGTATTTCTATTTAGGTAACAAAAACTATTTGAGGTTTTGGAACATATCATTTGTTTGAAGCAAGCTGTCTCCAAAGTCATTTCCAATCTGTTTCATGAAGTGATCTTTATACAACTGATCTTCAATTAATTAAAAATCTTGCAAATATCTTTAAGCTAAAGGACCATCAAAATGCTTCATTATATGTCATAAAAAGGCCATAATAGTGAATACAGTATTACATGTATATAGAAGAATAGTTTATCCAGGAAAATGTATTAAAGGTGATAAAGTAGACAATAAATTGCAGAATTCTGATGTACAATTTCTGTAAGGGAGCTGATGTGGCAAAATGTCACAAATTGCAATATAATTGCATTTTTTTTTTACTTAAAAAGGCATATTTAAATGAAGTATTAATTTGTTAGTCAATAATAAAGAATTGTCTGGGCAATTAAAAAGAGGTTTATGATAAGTGTACCAAAATGCAATCCCGACACTAGCATCATTTTCAACTCTCACTAATTTCTAAACCAGAGAGTTATCACAAATGAAAATGAAACTGGGTCACATCTGGACATCTTCTTGAAATAATGTCTGTGTAAATTGTTGCTTTTACAGTAATACGAACAAAGAAATGCCAACACAGCAATACCACACATTATACATACGACAAAAGTAAATTAAGGAATGCAGACAACAGGATATGGAATTAATATCACTATGTGACCAAAATAGGGATCTCAAACTAGTTCCCACGACAAATAATTTCATAAAAGTTAAGATGCTATGGGAACAGATTTCAATTTCTTTGGACATGCCTAACTTAAACATGTACAATAATTTGACCCAATAAAAATGCTAATGCAGGAAGGGCCAATTATTAAATATAGGACATTATCACTAAAGACTTTTGGATATGGATTGGATTTATACCAAGCATGAAATGACTATCCTTATAAATGCAGTAACCAGGGCTCGGCTTACAAAACAGAAACAACTATACACTGATGAGACTGAAAGTGCCAGGAAAATTCTCCACTTACAATTTTTTACTTAACTAATGCAAAAATGCCAGTTTCAATTTTTTTCTTTTAATTTGAAAAGAATTTATTTGACTGTCTTGTGATTTTTTTTATACTACATTTGTATTTGAACATGAAATTTTGTGAATTTTCTACAGAGTTTTCTATTTTATGAGGTTGATCTAGCTCAATAAGACCAGGTGAGCTAAAATGTTGTTCTTACCCTCCATTCAGATGGTCAACTAGTGCATGAGTCAAGGCAGTTGACGCTACTATGGCTTCTTTCTTCTTCTTTTCTGTAATATACAAAATTGATATAGTTTAAATTCCAGCAATTCATACAGAATTAGTTAAAAAGCTTTTTGCCCCAAGTATTCATATCATGAAGAAATTTTGGAAAAAGTTTTAGTGTTATAATAACAATTTTTATTGGTAAATTACCACATAGTATTCAGGGATGTATCAATTTTTTGGATCTCAAGGAGAAGATTTTTTCTCCAAGGTAAATTGGCTGCAGGTAGAGGGGAACCAAAGACTTGCTTAGTCTTGATACTCCTTGCTTCAACTGTTTTATTAAATCAAAATAAACATGCAGATATTTTCCAAAAGCAAAATTCAAAACTGCAACTTCTGAAAATGTATCTGATCTTTTGTTAACAAGTCTAGTCCCATGATCAATAAATAACAAGGAGGGATCAGGTCAGTCAAAACACTCCCCCTGCCTCTTAAATAACTCACCCCTACATTTTTAAACTAGACTTGCCCAGTCTTTGATATGGTATGGTTCAAATATGACTATAGGGGTGAATGGGTAAATATTTCCACTGAGACAAACTAACATAACACAATTTTCCAAAATTGAAATTTTATAACAAATTCATTCAGAAAAATTGAGCTCCCTCTGGCATTTAGTTGGGTTAATAAAACAATGAGTAAATACAACCACATACTGTAAGTGTGTGGTTTTGACTCAGCAGAAGATTTGTCAGTTTGTTACAACATGTACTAGTTGGTGCACAGTACGGAAGATAGCTTATTACACTTCAGATACTTAACGTGTCATAAGTACAATGGACTTCATCAATAGAACTCAATGTCTCTGACCCATGTACATAAAAGTCGTGACTTTGATGACGTACCTATAGCATCTGCAACATGATTTCACACGGAAATAAGTGATCAGTAATAGCGTTCCTAGTACATGCAAGTTTTTGTACAATTAACAAACAGGATTCAAGTTTATTGGAAGAATCACACTATTTAAGTTTACAATGTAATAAAACATGACTACAATAATATCTTTTACTCATTCACCCCTGAAATCTCATTATGAACTATTCCAACCTTTGAAATGGAAGAGTTCAAATGTGTCTTCAGGGGTGAGTGATTAAGGATGTAGATGTCATTAGCAAAATTTTAAAAGCTAAAATTGGACAAAAAAGATATGTTAAATAAAAGAAAAACACGAAGTCCAATGGCGCTGTTATCCATATAACATCTTTGACCTTCAAAAGGAGTCAATGCAAATGATTTTAAGAAGGCTACAGATATGTCATGACTCTAGGCATCTTTTGTATACAGAAATCTTTTTAAGATTTTAACACAATAACCTTGAAAGTGGGCCAAAGTTGTATATCTGAATAAAAAAAATGAAAAAAAATGATTCCAATAGCCCTTTATCCAAGCATACTTCAGGCATAATGTTGTGACTATAGGCCTAAATTGATGAAAAAAAAGTTTGTTTTTTTAAGATTTTAACACATCTGACCTAGTGACCTTGAAAGTGGGTAAAGGTTATCCATTTAAGCAAACTTGATACCCACATGTCATTCTACTGGCCATAAATCATGACCCTGTGCTTATTTTATAACATTTATTGAAATAAACTAATTGGCGTTTTTTAATGAATAAGTCATTAACCTGTAGTTAATTGCTTTGGGTAGATAGGAATGAATTGTATACTTTGAAATCAGATATATTTGTGGTTTCCCATTTACGAGTATCTATTCAGAGATTTGCTGTCTATCAAACTTGTAATTTCTTTCTGGACCTATGTCAATTTGGGATGAAGATCACACAAGAAATCAACAAAATTATATATCCTATAAAAATTACCGGTAGTGATTTCACTGAGGGACATGCTGTCAAGTGTGTAAACACAGATGTACTGCTTACTGTCAATCTCATCAGAACAACTTTATTGTATTGGTAGCTAATAATTTGAGTTAAACAAAACTCTTTATCCCTCTGGCTCTATACAGAGAAATTACCTGAAATGACGAAAATAAAATCCTTAGGAAAGAGGATACACAACCGGAGATAGTTTGAGAATGCAGGATTGTGACAAACACAAGGGTTATATTCAGTCTTTACAATGAAATATACTAGCGGAAAAAAGAAACTGTGCATGCGGGAAATTGTTGTAGAACATGTATTACCAACTGTATATATACATGAAATTTCACACACATGACCAAGTATGACACATACACACTATCCGTGTGTCATTGACAATTTTTCCCGTGCAGTTTGCTCTCTGTAGGCGTTGACCAGTTTGCACGTTTTTCTCGTCCAGCCATCCAATTTGACAATGAAAGTTTATTTTTAAACTGTTGGGTCACTCTGTTGAGACTATTGAACAGTAAAAACAGCATTATAACGTTTTAATTTGTGATTAATGCTATGCCGAGGCTCAATGAAAATGAATGCCTCCAGATTATTGGTATGCTTCAAGCTGGTATGGGCAAAGCCGTTGTCTCTACACGTTTTCATGTCCATCGAAATACAACCCAGGATTTGTGGAGACGACATCAACAGTTTGGCCACGTCGGCGATCGACCTCGTGCAGGACGACCACGTGTGACGTCACGTCAACAGGACAACCATATTCGGCTTGTCCATTTTAGAAATCGCTTCCAAACGGCAAGTTTGACTGCACGGACAATCCCTGGGTTGCTACCAATAAGCCAGAGAACTGTACGGAACCGATTGCGTGAACGAGCTATCCATCCGCGACGTCCTGCAAAATCCGCCCAGTTCTTCTGCCACGTCATCGTGTAGCACGTCTGGACTGGTGCAGAAGGCATCTGCGATTTACTCGATGGAATTGGGCAAGCATTTTGTTTACGGACGAGTCGCAAGTCCACCTGGATAGTAGTGCATCGTTGCGTTGGAAAACGTTTCCGCGACGCGTGTGTGGTACAACGACGTTTTTTCGGCGGAGGCAGCGTTATGATTTGGGGTGGTGTCACAGCCAACGGGAGAACGCCTCTGGTGGTTGTTTACGGGAATTTGAACACGCTACGTTACCGTAACAAGATCCTCCGGACCCACCTCGTTCCATTCGTGCAAGGGCAGCAACGTCACATTATGCTACAGCAGGACAACGCCAGGCCACACACAGGTTGTGTCGCTATGGCCTTTCTGGCCCAGCAGAACGTTGATGTGTTGCCCTGGCCTGCTGTATTCCCTGATCTGTTGCCCATTGAACACGTCTGGGATGAAATGAAGCGCAGATTACAGGCATTACCTAATTAACCGGTGGCTTTGGCTGATTTGCCTGCAGCGTTGGTACAGATCTGGAATGCCATCCCACAAGCATTCTTGATCCGTCTGATAGGCTCCATGCGTCGACGTTGCCAGGCTTGCATTCAGGCAAACGGTGGACATTTGTTTGTTTGTTTGTTTGATTTTGTTTAACGTCCTATTAACAGCTAAGGTCATTTAAGGACGGCCTCCCCTGGGTGCAAGATGCATGCGTGTAGTGTATTTGTGTGTATTTTGGGAGGCTGCGATATGTTCGTGTTTGTCTCCTTGTGATAGCGCGAAACTGATGCCGACTTTATAGTGCTACCTCACTGAAACATTCTGCCGAAGACACCCAGCAGGACGCCCCACCCGGTCACATTATACTGACAACGGGCGAACCAGTCGTCCCACTCCTAATTTGCTGAGCGTTAAGCAGGAGTATAAACTACCATTTTTAAAGACTTTGGTATGTCTCGGCCAGGGGACAGAACCCAAAGCCTTCCTCACAGGGGCGAACGCTCAACAAATGGCCAAAAGTGAGGCATTGTCAAGGGAGACATTAGGAAGAAGAAAGTTATTTAGAAAGGAGAGAAGAGATAAGGTCCCAAATTTAGTCGCCTCTTACGATCATGCAATTGGGGGCAGCAGGTACAATTCTTACGCCCTACCTGCAGGGTCTTCAGGCAAATGGTGGACATACGAGGTATTAACTTTGTGAACCCAGTATTGACCCCTGCTGTGTTTACGTCACTCCTGAGCGGAACTTATTGATTCCATAACGTGGAAAATGGAATGCAACTGTTAACAAATAAATTGTCCCTGAAAACCTTGTTGTTCTACGTCATACACATTTATTTTTATAACACATTTTAGGCATGCAGTTTCTTTTTTCCACTAGTATACATGCATTGAAAATAATGTCAATATACTTGAAGTACATTCACAAGAGCAGCCTGATTGGATGTATTTATTTATTTAAAAATGGGGAGTTGGGGTGAAGGCCTGGGAATGTCAAAGGATTAAAAAAAGGTGGGGGTTTTGTAAAACATCAAAAATATGATTTATTTCAAATCTTCATTACCTGTCTACGATACATTAGAATCACTTTGTGCACCTGTGGTGTACAAATTAAAATTTGGTGAAAAATAATCAAGCCCAGAGCTAGTCCTGGTTATGGACCTCAAGTTTATTGTAATTTTGTTTGTTTATTTATTTGTCTATGAAACCCAGGAAACCAATTCTAGAGTGTGCAATCATACTACTTTCACTACTTTACTGTACTGAGGACCTATGTCTGTGCTGTACCCGTTCTTTAGTTGTTAATTGTTGCACATATGAATAAAGCCTTTATTATTTATTATCATTATATCTCTATTTTCTACTGCACACACACAGGCATACATACATAGGGAGATGTTAGTCAGGTAGTATAGCACCTGATTAGGCATGCAGCTCTTGCGAATTCCTCAAAATTGTTATGATTAATGTATACATGCTGATTGTATTGATTGTATATCTTTGTACTGTAAAGCGCTTTAGAGTGGCTTAATTATTCTAGCTAAATAGGGCACTATCAAATGTTGTATATTATTATTATTTATGGATAAAATTTAGGTAACAAAAAAACACTGCATACACTAATGTCACTTAACATCGTAACATTGGAAAAGGAACTAGACTTGGTCATTCATTGGTGACCAGGTCGCTCAATTGGTAGAGCGTCTCTCTAGACTTAAGAGGGTCCCAGGTTCGAACCCCGGTGGGGTTGTAACGTTTTCTCTTTCTCCTGTTTCACATGTAAATAGACAGGCACATTTTTAATGTTTGGGTGCATGAAGATGGAAATGAATATAAATTGATCATGACAACCAAGGTTAAAATTTGAGACTAAACATTGCTGATACACAACGTAAAGCACTGTTCTTAAAATGTTCTTAATTCGTTTACGTGGCAATTTCACCTGAATTAATGGCTCAGAAACTAACCACCCAAGTTACGATGTTAAGTGACTTTAGTGTATGCAGTGTTTGTGTTACCTAAATTTTACAACAGCCTGTTCCTTAATAAATTGGGAATATATAGCATATTTGTATTAAATTGGAATATATTCCTCATTTTTGGGTCATTTTGGGAAAATAAGGCACTTTTTAATCAGGGGAAACAGACTATATACTCGCTGGTAGTAACACAATCAGCTAACATCATTACAAATAACTGTTTTATATGAATGTATAGTTACTCTCATCAGTTAGTTAGATGACCGGAGCCATGCTCTGTCCTTGTCTTGACATAGTCTATTATTGTAAATCGGTAGGGTAAGGATGCATAGTTATATTAGTTTAGTTCGAGTTTCTCTCAGATCTCGTCAGATGATTCGATGAGTCAGTCACCTTGTTTTTCTTTCCGCACCTGCTGCTTCGCCTGGTGCTGTTTGAGTAGACTTGACAACATATTCAAATGTTGAATAACACCATTTCACGACTAATAACCAGTCTCATCTTAAATTTTCACATCTTACAGCAAGAATAACGTTAGATTTGTCTTTTTCCTACTGTCAAATCTCCGCCCCTGCTTTACCGGAAGTGACTTGTAACGCATGTGCTAATTTTGTATTCCCGCGTCACTATATAGTTCATAGACAACATTCGTTTGTGACATATGAATACACTGGTATGATAAAGTATGCGCATCACTTATATCTTATCAGTAAAAGCATAGGCAAATTATCTCATGAGTGCGTGCTATCTGCGACGAAGGCGAAATTGAAAGTGAAACAATAGTGTATTGTTAAAAATCATTGCGCATGGTTACGATCTCGCAAATTCACGTGTGACACAGGTGCTCGACAACAAAATTAATGGGGACACGATGAAAATGGCCTTCTTGGTACGGGACGGTCCCGTCATATTGTTGGCGCTCTGGATAAATTCGTGCGTCTTTGGATATAATATAGACACAAACATTCCAGTGATAAAAATTGGTCAGCCAGGCAGCTATTTCGGATTTGCAGTAGCAGAACACATAAATAACGAGCATTTGTAAGTACAACCTTTCGATGAATATTTGAAGTAGGTCTCATTTTTGGTGACACGCTTCTTCTAGGTAAACAATAACATATGAACAAAACAGCATTTAAAAAGAAATATTATAATGAAGATGATATTTTCTTGCTTCTAAGAAAAATATTTAACATTATATGCATACTGCACATATATCTAAGAAAGATACGATAGGTATTTGAAACATGAGGTGATATCCAACAGGTAAGCCAAAATTATTAAAATGTGATTTTGAGATCACCCCCTGAAATATCCTCCCCCTATGTCAATAATAATTTTTGAGGTGTTTCTATAAGCAGTGTTTCTAAAATCATGATTTTGACGAAACCGAAATTAAATCTTGATTATATATATATATATATATTAATTAATCTAATTATCTATAATATGTAATTGTCTTTAAAAGAAATGTTTTTCCCCATATTTAAAATAGTAAATAATGAAACGACATAATAAATAGGGCACATGACATTAGATAAACAGCAATACATCTCATTTTTCGTTATGATGTCACCAACATCTTATTATGAAATTTGATTTGAAATGTTTCTACCCAATTTGAAATTAAAAGAAGAATGCAAATCTAAAATAATCTTTAAATGGGATTTTTCTATTTCTATTCTGGTAACTGTAGTAAAACTTGCAAAATATAACAAGAAGGACTTAAAAAAATCCTACTTTTTATTTATTCTTATAGAAAGAAAACTGAGAGAAACATTTCAATAGAGTTTAGTCTGATAAACAGTCATGATTGAATAACAACTTACACTGTATTAATTAAGGTGACGAAAATATCCTAGGGATGGTCACATTCTGCAGAGGTTATTTGATAATGTTAAAGACTTTTTGATAAAGTTAAAAGTGTAGATGAGAAATAAGCATTGGTTTACATATTGAAATTTAAACATTCTGGTTTGTGCTTGGTTTAACTAATAATATAAGTTGCAAATTTCTTTTCCAAAATCTCCTCATTTTCAGAATTGAGAAAAAAAATGTAGTGTATTTAGTTCTAATGGTATAGTAAGTATACATTTGACAATGCAATAGAAAATAAACATTCAGCTTTTGACTGTTTCATTCACAGTAGATGACTCACAATTAGCAATTAGATGACACATTTGAATTACTGTGGTGAATTCTGTAATTGGTATGCATGGAGATACCATCAATATCATATGGCCTCCTGAGTCAATGCTAGTGATAAAGAAATTTACCATCGTCCTCCTGAAATAGGGGAAAACCTTTATTTATGGTTAGCAAAACAGTCAGTTCACCCCTCAGAAAATATATTTCAATTTACAGTATTGATTGTAAAAAGCTGCTCGAGCTCAAACTGAAATTTTATTACTTCAAAATGAAAAAAAAATCTCATCATATCCCTGTAAGCTTCCTATCAGGGCATATGATGTACATATAATGTCAATTAAAAAAACCTTGCCCAGAGCAATTAGTACTGAAGGTAGATATCTTAAACACATATACCAAACTGAAATTCTTCTTGATGTTTCTCACTGATTGAAATGATATGGTTATTGTTAACATGTAAATGAAAAAAAGTAATGTACTATCTCGGTCATTTTTTTTTAATGTTTTTCTGAAACTGAACAACGGTTGCTTTAGGCTTAGCTGTGTAGGATAAGAGGCTTTTTACACCTACTCCTGCCTGCATTTAAGTGGCTACTGGTTTACTACCAATTTCTGAAATCAGTCTTTTAAGGTCATAACTACTCTGAAGTCTATTATAATACATATGCATAGATAGCAGTATACCATTTTGCTTTGCTAAATGTTGCTATCAGAGAGCTCAAATTGAAAACAAAACACATTTTTATTTTGGGAGAGTTTTAGTCTTAATCATTCTTATTAAAATAATCAATTTATATTTATAATTAAAAGACAAAATGTGCAGAGGGCTATAGTGCATGTTTTGGGTGTGTCAGCAATGTCCTGTACATTGTACTGAATTATATGTTGGTCATAGGGTGTGTATTATAGGAGTGTTATCAGTGGGTGTTCTATGAGTGTATACACATGGTTAATGTAAACAGTCTAGACGCTAAAAACAGTATTCCAACACATGTATATATACAATACCATTGATATTTAGGTACCGTGCAGGTGTACTAACCATTGATAATCCTGCACAAATACCTACATGACCTGGTTTATTTATAATTACCTTCATTAGTGTAGAGTCTGAGGAGTGTATTACATTGTTATTTACATGTAGATATCCAATACAAATACCTGTATTGTACTACTACATGTATGTATATAGCTTCCTGCAATCTGTTACACTGTTATTTCCTATTCTGCAATCATCTATACAAATCACTGTATTCTGTATATATAGCTTCCAATACAATATATTACACTGTTGTTTCCTATTCTAAAATTATTACCAGCTATACAAACATCTGTATATATATACTGTACTACTATAGCTTCCTTCATCGGTATATTACAATGTTATGTCCTATATTCTACAACTATTACCTGTATATTGTACTATTGAACATTTTTACCATTTGTACAAATACATGTATACTGCACTTAAGTACTACTTAACATAATAACCATCTATACAAAATTTAAAAACAACATGTACAATGTACTATACAGGTACAAATTAAACTATGAATAATATCTGGCAAACTACTTGTCGAGTGATATATAGAGCCTGTGGATTCCCGATATATTACATTGTTATTTATCTATATACATGCAGGTGCAAACTATTAATAACATCTGAGCAAATACCTGTTTATTGTATAATATAGATCCCGAGGGATATATTACATTGTTATTTTGATATACAGGTAACAATCATTATTACTATCTATAAAAACTGTACCTGTGTGTGGATATATATATATATAACTTTGATAATTCAGGTGCACTTTCCATAATACCTGTAAATATTGTATTCAATGTATAGACCCTGCCAGTGTTGTTATTTGGGTGTTATACAGGTAAATTCTGTGACCTTTACCTGAATATATTGTACCTTTTGTACAGCTGGTATATTGCACGTATGTATGATAGGTAGTAATATATAAGCCTTATCTTGAAGTGATGTGTGTACTGAAAGTGGAGCTATATGTTAATTACATTGTTATTTATATAATTAAGGTAAACAAAACAAGTTGATTTATTAATTTTGATGCTTTTTCCCCCTTGCCAGTTATTATTGCAACTGGGACCTTCAGAATATGTTGAGATGTTAAATGTGTTATTATAGTGGCTAATACTAGCTATATAGGCTAGTTTTCATAATGGTGGCTGTCAGAGATGGCAGTGCAATGGCACTGTGGCCCTTTCTCAACACTGGAAATACTATAACTTTAAAAGTGGTGTTTAAACATTCACCCCTGAAATTTCATAATGAACTATTCCAACCTTTGAATTGGAAGAGTTCAAATATGACTTCAGGGGTGAATGAGTTAAACACATCACAGATAGATGTATACATGTATGTATATCAGAAAATTATATTTGTATTTCCCACTTTTCCCCTATTATTATGCCGATCATGACAGACAAAATGAAAGTTTTAGCAGGTCACTATTGAATATGTTGACCAACTAACATACATATATGTATTAGAAAAGTGAATTTGAAAATTTCGAAGACAAAACCTGGTCAATTTGGTTGTCTACTATCTCTTACAGATGTTCCTGTATTGTATACATAGACAACATTTAATATCTTACTATTATGACAGACGGACCTGAGATTTTTCCTGAAATGCTCAGAGGCCCCCATTTCCGAAAAAAATCCTCAGCATTATACAATTTTATATTAAAGTGTTTTGAGAAATCATGATAAAATATCAATAACCACAAGATCAGAAATTTTCCTTTTGTTCCAGGAATAAAGCGTAAGAGCTACACCAGTATATGATTTAAATATGATAAGTCACATATTATATTCTGAGCACTTCAGAAGTACTTGAGAGTGAAGTGGCTTTACAGTGTATGATAGTAAACAGGGAAGCTGCAGGGGTATTCAAATTAACACATACATATGAGCTGAGAATTTGAAGAAATGCCTGTATTACCAACACTACAACAGTAATCTCTGTATAATTGTTAAACTTTTCAAACCAGTCCTGTATGTCCCTTTGTCATGTCACAAACAAAATTACACATTATGTCATCAGCATGTACCACTGACTTTGTGATTATTGTTCTTTGTCTTGTTCTTTCTCACTGGGGCAGCATTTGTGGTCGAGTGATTAAGGTGTGCATCACTGTACCTAGCTATAGTTAGCCCCCCACTACGTATACCTAAGTTGTGAGTTCCAGGCTTACATGCATGGGGCAGTCTGTGACCTGGCAGGTACTGGCTGCAGAGGTCAGTGAGTTAGTTTCCTCCAACCCCAATTAAAACCTGGCTCAGGACCATAGCTGTTATTAGGATTTAATTAAGGTATGCACAAACCAAAGTATTTCCAATGTTTACCAACTAACGTAGTTAATATCATTATTCTGATCCAGTGCATATGAAATTTGAGATCATGTTGTCATTATTAAATTATAACAATTACTCATATAGAAAGAAAATCTTTTGTCTACATGACTGGTAATATCATAATACAGAAAGACATAGAATCTGAAATGAGTCAAATGACAGATTTCAATCTAAACTTCTTTTCCTTTTTTCGTAGCTGTTTATATTACTTGTAGATAAAAGTGTGCTGCTCCCAAATTGAGCATGACGAAAGGGTGCTTTATCAAGTTTTATGTGATCAGCAGGTACTGATCCATGAGATTTCTATATTCAAGAAATTTTACAATGAGAAATTGTGATACAGTGCAAATCAAAGTTTGAATAATAGCGTAACTAATGGACGATACATGTTAGGACTTCTTCTCAATACAGTGTATTATTGCATCATCATCACCAAGGCCCAACAAATATAATATTTTGTTTCAGTTTCATCACTGGAAAAGTGAGGATATGTACATGTATAGTTA